AAGAAGGAAAAGGATGATGATTGAGGGGGGGAAGGGGGGTGGAGGAGGGGAGGAGGAGGATGGAGGAGGAGGATGGGAGGAGGAGGAGGAGGCGGAGAAGGAGGAGGAGGAGGAGGCTCGGAGGAGGAGGAGGACGAGGAGGGTGAGGAGCAGGAAGTAGGAGTAGGAAAAGGATGAGGATCGGAGGAGGGGGAGGAGAAGGAGGAGGAGGAGCAGGAGGAGGAGCATGGAGGGGGTAGGAGGAGGAGGATAAGGAGGAGGAGGAGGAGGAGGAGGAGGGCAGGAGGATGAGGAGGAGGAGGAGGAGGAGGAGAGAGGGGAGGAGTGAGGAGGAGGAGGGAGGAGTTGGAGGAAGGAGGGAGGTGGAAGACGTAAGGACGAGGAGAAGGAGGCGGGCGGAGGGAGAGGAGGAGGAGGAGGAGGAGGAGGAGGAGGAGAGGAGGAGGGAAGAGGAGGAGCAGGAGGAGGAGGAGGAGGGAGGGAGAGGGAGGAGGAGGAGGAGAGAGGAGGAGGAGAGGAGGAGGGTGGAGGGAGTAGGAGGAGGAGGAGGAAGGAGAGGTGTAGGTGTAGGCGGGGAAGGAGGCGGAGGAGGAGCAGAGGAGGCAGGCAGGAGGAGGAGCAGGAGGGGGGGAGGAGGAGGATGAAGGGGAGGAGGAGGAGGAGGAGGAGGAGGAGGAGGGAGGAGGGGAGGAGGAGGAGGCGGAGGAGGAGCAGGCGGAGGAGGAGGAGGAGGAGGAGGAGGAGGAGGAGGAGGAGGAGGAGGAGGAGGAGGAGGAGGAGGAGGAGGAGGAGGAGGAGGAAGAGGGGATGATCCCCTCCGCCCGCCCATCTCCCAGCGGGCCTGTGCCTGCACGCCAGAATTCGTGCGGTGCCGCCGCCGGCCGCGACCGCGAGCAGCGGCGGAGCGCGCCATCGCGCGCGCTGTCGCTCGCCCCGCGGGCCAGAGAAATGGATTGCTGGCGGTCGGCTCGGGCTCTGCGGCTCCCCCGGCACGCAGGAGACGGGGGATCCGCCCTCCTCGTTCTCCTCCTGCGCCTCCTCCGCCTTCTCCTCCTCGTTTCCTTCATGCTGTTACCACCCCTCTCCTCCTCTTCCTCCTCCTTCCCCTCCTATTCCTCTATCTCCTCCTCGTCCTCCTCCTCCTTTTCCTCCTCCTCCTCCTCCTCCTCATCCTCTTTTTAGTATGTTTTTTTTCCTGCGTCCGCTGTTCCCGTGGGCAAGCCGTGCCTTGGTGTGGGAGCCCGCTGGACCAGCGCGGCGAGCAGAGCGACCCTGATTGAGATGGGTTGATGTTCCGGCATCCTCTGCAGTGCAGTAAGGATTGGAAACCCCGAAACGGTGCGGTGACAGACCGTGCGGTGACCTCGAAATCCCCCAAGACCTCACCGCACGGTCCGTCACCGCACGGTCTTGGGACCCCAGAGGCCCCCGTCGCCCGAGACGTCCTCGGAGAACGACCCCAGTCCCAAAACCGTGCGGTGACCCCGAATCCCCACCGACTCACCGCACGGTGTGGTCACCGCCCCGTTTAGGGGCCCCCAAGACCAGCGAGAAGACGCGCGAGAGAGGCCACAGTGGATGGAGCCGAGGCTCTCCGCCGCGCGCCTGGTCTTCGGGACGGCCTCTGGCCGACATGCGCTTCAGTCAAAGTCAGTCCGCTTTCCCACGCCTCCC